CAATAGACATCCCTATTGCTGCCGGATTTTGGCGCAAAAAGAGGTCAATAGGGTATCAATAGGTATCAATCAGAATAATATTATTCTGATTGATGCCTATTGATACCCTATTGACCTCTTTTTGCGCCAAAATCCGGCAGCAATAGGGATGTCTATTGATACCCTATTGGATATCATTTTACCTGTGTTATTTACTGTATTTTTTATTTTTATTTATTTTACTTTATTTTTTATTTATTTTTATTTTTTAGGTTTCAATTTGGACAAAAATATTAAAAGATTGGGATAAACAGCTTGGTAGGTGCCGCAAGAATATTCTTCTTCTTGTTGATAGGGCTACAGTACACCGTCTTGAGGACAATGTAACACTAAAAAACATCCGCGTTGAGTTCATGTTATCTAACGCCACTGCCCATATTCAACCCTGTGATCAGAGAATTATTAATTCGTTTAAATGCTTTTATAAGAAGAGTTTTATTAGCAATAGAATTGATGCATATGATTCTGTATCTGATAAGCCAAATGAGAACCCGCCAGACTTTACAATCCTTGACGCAATTTATATTGCAGCTGATGCTTGGAAAAAAGTGACCCGTGAAACTATTGTGAATTGCTGGCGACATGCTGGTATCCTTCCTATTGATGAAGATAACAATCCACCATTGGTGCAGCATTATGATTTTGAGAATGAGCAAGCTCACGATTTAGATGATATGATTGCAAGACTCCCAATTGATAACCCGCTTAGTGCTGATGAATTTATACATCTTGATGATGTTTTACTAATTGAAGAAATACCGGATGATATGATCTTAATTGAACAAATTCGCTGTGAACAAGATGATGAGGATGCTCAATCAGATGAAGAAGATGATAGTACAACAGAGTTATGTAAATTTTCTTTACAGGAAGGAAAACAATTTGCGAAGAATTTGGTTCAATTTTTATTACAACAAAATGATGAGTTTGGTATTTCAGTTGAGGAACTAGAAGTGGTTAGGCATATAAGTGAAATTGTAAAGCGTAAAGAGATGAACTCAAGGCGTCAAGTGTCATTAATGCAGTTTTTTAAAACTAGTGATTAGGGTTTTTATACAAAAATAATTATGTGAATATATGTTGTGCTGCAATAGTATCAAATAATAAAGATCTGATTTTTACGTGTTATTAGTGATATCAAAATTACTGCTTTATTTATAATATAGCTGTTTTTATAAATTCCAAGGCATCTCATAAAAGTTGATTGATAATTGTGCTGCTAAATTTGATAAGTTATTGATGTTAGTATAATCGATATTAATTTTTATACAACTAAGTTATAGTTATTATATGGGTTGTAAAAAATAACCCAGTTACACACGGGTTCATATTCCGTGCCGAAAGCACGGGATTTAAATATGAACCCGTGTGAATAACTGGGTTATTCAACCCATATAATAACTATTTTATTGCACGGTGTCTGACGTAACAATCCCGTGCCAATAAGTAAATGAAAAAAGCACGGGTTGTCATATAAGACCCGTGCAATAATTGCATTTTACTGTTTAATAAATATTTAAGTTTTATTTCACCAACTGACTTTAATTTATTATTCCAATACAGTACATCGTGGACTTAAACAGTTGTAATTAGTAATTTTGGAATGTAATTGGCTGAATTCAATATACCAGATTTTAACTCTATTTTATTAGTAAAACCGCTATAACGTAATAGCGGATATTCGTTATAACGGATAGAATTTTTCAGCCCGAATGATCCGTTATAACGGGGGCAGAGTGTATTAGTCATCTTGAATCTAAATATGCCAGATTGGCAGATATTTTTAAAGAATTCATTAACATTTATTATTTTATTTCTATAGCTAATATTTCTATTCACAAATTTAAAAATTATATTTTAACAGCAATTGGCAAAAGAGCCTATAAATTTTCTGATCCTATTTACTTTGTTGCATTATTTTTATCTCCATCATATAAAAAAAGTAGCAATATCTAAAAAAATATCTGATGATTTTATTATTAAAGCCAGTTTAGAATTAGCAAAGATTTGAAGGTTTGATAAAAGAGATGCTACTCTTTTATACAAAGAACTTGTTAATTATAAAAATGAAGACTCTCTATTTGATAAAAAAAAAAAAGTATTAAAGTTACTTTTAGAATATTTTGGATGCAGTTTACTGGTGGTTCTCCTCTTTTATAACAATTTGCAATAAAAGTTTTTTCAATTGTTCCTCATATGCAGATATTGAACACCTTTTTTCTGGATTAGGACTTATCAAAACCAAATCAAGAAACTATATATCTCCTTCTTTAATAGAAATATTAGGAATGCTATATAATGAACTAAAACAAGAATTACCAAAAAAACTCCAAGAAAATAAATCTAAAAAACAATTGTCTTTTGATATTAATAATAATAATAATATCTTTAAAGAAGAAAAAATAATTATTGATGAGGAATTTGAAGATGTAAAAGAAATTGATATGAATATAAATGATGGTTTGTTATTTTATACTTGGATTTAAATATACTAAAAGCCAAATTTTATTAATATAAAAAAATTACACATATTACAAATATATACAACATGCTTACAAATGACTACAGAACTAATAATAGAAGAACTTTTTAATATTGCAGTTTTTAAACGTGAGGTAATAGAAGAGGAGTTGACTCTTTTCTTACAATATTCTAATATTTCTAGCAAAAACTAGTCTATTGAGGATATTATAGTTTAGAAATCAGTATTGTTAATAATATAGTATATAATATTAAATAAATGCTTCTATAAAATAAAACAATCAACAAACTTGTATAAATACCTTTGTTACTAAGTAATATATAACTTTCTAATTCTGTTTTATGATTTTTGCAAAATCATAACTTCTACATTTTATATAAACTATGATCTGTAAACAGAACAAGCAAAACTTTATTGCACTTTACCTTAAAAGACTTGGTATATATGCACCAGGTTGGAGATCTACATATATAATAACTGTGACAGATTAATAAGAAATTAGATTAAAATAAAATATGTATAATATAAAAAAAATTGACAAGCCAATAAAAAATAAAAATTTGGACTCTTCCCGACGATCATTCAGACCAACTTTTTAAAACCAAACTTTCAATAAAAAACAGTAAAACTATGTTAGAGAAGAAGGACATAAGACTAACAAAAACTATAAACTGGTGTTAT